AAATATCTGTTCTTCATAACAGATTATTCCTCTGGTATTCCCTCCTTTCAGCTAAGATCCATCTATTCTATTGTTCTATAGTTTCCACATTCTGTTGGGTCATGCTTCTTTGGGATGGGAATAAATATCTCTCTTTCAATCAGTTGGCCAAGTGGTTGTTCTCCAGATTTCCTGGCACAACTTGGTGAGCACATCTAGGGCAGCATCTGTTAGCTGAAATACTTCAATTGGTATACCATCTATTCCTGGGGCCTTGTTTTTGCTATTTCCCTCAAAGCAGCTTGAACTTCTTCCTTCATCACCATAGCCTCTTGTTCATATGTTATTTCATTAAATTCTTCTGTGTCTGCCAATTCCTTACGGTACAGTGACTCAGTATATTCTTTTCATCTTCTTTTAATACTTCCTGGATAATTTAATATTGCTTGTATAACCAAGTAAATTTAAATCATTGATAAATTCAATCTCTTCTCTATCATGATGTTACCTATTGGTCCAGAGGTAAAGATTTTTGTTTCCTTGGTGTTGAAATGTAATCCATATGGATCTTAGAACTACAATTTTCTACTTCATATTGGAATCTTAAGTTTTCTTCCACCTCTTCACAGACTCTTGAAAAAAGAATGTCTTATACAATATTAAAAAAAAAAAGAAACAAGTTTAGTTGTGTGAAAGTTTACAAATCACATTGGTCTTTCCAGACAATTATTCATAGGTATTTTTAATTACCATCAGTTGATGCAATTAACATTATAATGTATAATCAAACTTTTATGGTAAATTGTTATTCCTCTCACTCACTTCTCTGTTTATTAATGTGTAATTTTGAGGGGGTTTTATTTTATACTGGTTTGCATACAAAATGTGTATACATTATGTTTCAATCACATACAATATATTTCACACATTCCTTCATTCACATTGTGTTTCATAAAATTAATCACCATGAATCTATGCCCACTATTACCCTATCTTTTCTAGTCCTCTACTGGAGCTTTCCAAATTCCTTCACCCTCTTCCTACACCCAGAGTTTTCTATTTTTAAATTTAAAACTATTAAAATTTAGTTTTAAAGATGTGTTAACTGAAACTTAACTAACTCCAAGACATATGAGAGACTTCTTGGCTTTTACCAAACCAGTCTGAATGTTGCAGGACTTAAAATATAATAGAAAGAAAGCTATTTGGGTATTGTGTGGAGTTTCTGTTCTACCTCTTTATTCTTTCTATATTATTATCTCTGACTAGACACTTTTCCAGATACCTAGCTATTTTTTAACCTTATATTCAATTATACTTATGGAACTGTTACAGTAATCTTGTTCTCAATGATAAATTCCCCGGCAAAAGATCAAATTCCCAGGCAAAAGATCTAGACCCTGCTTTTATCAAGCATTAGAATATAACAGGGAACCTAGTTTGAATGTAGACTATATTAGAGGAGAGTCATTTTTATGTCTGTTTAACACTGTATGTTAAACACACAGAAGACTCATTATTGGTTAATTATTATTAACTACTGAACAGAACACTAATTACAAGTGTGTTGGGTACTATTAAGGAAAACTCCAGGTGCTGTGGAATATATAAACAGGAGGCTTAATCTATTTGGGGGCAATCAAGTAAAACTAATTCTTCAGCAAAAGAACCAACAGTTCATAAAGTCACTCTTTAGTGGGATTTGTGAAGGAAGCAGTCAGTGTCAGATTCCTAGTCAGTTTGCCCTATCCCCTTGGGGACTTGAATCACCTTGACTTTGTCACTACTGAGTTTATTAAAGTAAAAACATGCATGAATTGCTTGGTAATACTATCTGCATCAGAAAGCTGGACAATTACTAAAGATAATAAAAGAGAATTGCATACCTTTGAACTGTGGTGCTGGAGAAGAGTGTTGAACATACCATGGACTGCTAAGCAAACACACAGCTTTGTCCTAGAGAGGGTGAAACTGGGCTTCTCTTTAGAGGCCAGGATTTTTAGCAACTCTAGGCATATTGCCAGGAGGGACCAGCCCTTGGAGAAGGACATTATGCTTGGAAAGGTGGAGGAGCAGCACAAAAGAGGCAGATGAGATGGATTGACTAAGTGACTGTGGTAATGGGTGTGGGTATGTCTGAGACAATGAAATTGCTTCAAAATAGAGTAAGAGGATTCAGAGCTGTTGTACATAGGGTTGCAATGAGTCGCAAGAGACAGGACAGCACATAATAAAAACAACTACTATATGTGTCTAGAAATAAAAGTCACATTTTAACCATGGTGATTTGTGTTTCTGGCTTCTTCCATGCCCACTCTCCCACTCTGTTTTCTTTTCCATCTTGCAGATGAAGGAGCTTCTATGCACCCTTGCGACGACACATACTGTGGACCTTTTCCAGAGTCTGAGCCAGAAGTGAAAGCTGTAGCTAACTTCCTCCGAAAACACAAAAAGCACATTAAGGCTTACCTCTCCTTTCATGCATATGCCCAGATGTTGCTGTATCCCTATTCTTACAAATATGCAACAATTCCCAATTTCAGCTGTGTAGTAAGTATTTGACTTTGTATTTATGTGTGTTTGGGGTCTTGCTTCCTTTTTAATGCTGTCTAAACCAAATCTCTGCCCTCAAGTTCATTTCAACTCAAAGCAACTAACTCTCAACTGGGCTTCTGAGGCTGTAAATCTTTATAGTAGGAGACTGCTAATATTTCTTCCATGGAGCAACTGGTGGATTTGAACTGCTGAGCTATTACTTATTAGTTAGAGCATGTAACACCCTATGCCACCAAAGCTACTTTCTGGTGTCAAGAAAGCTTTTATTAGAAATGATAAGTACATAGGTTTTAATTCATTTATTCCTCTTAGCGATGTTGTGAGGTAGATATAATCTCCATTTTACAGATAAAAAACCTGAAAACCAGAAATACTTAAGTATACAGAGTTATGAGTCATCCAGGACCGAGGCCTGGGTCTAGCTCCAGAGTTTTTAACCACTATGCTTTGCTGCCTCCCAAATGCAATCATTCCAAACTTGTGATACTCTTACCATAGGTTATGCTGAAAAAAGGTCAGCAAGGATTTGATTTATATTACAGCTTCAGTCACATGTGCAGGGCTATATAATTAACTTTATTGAGTAAATAATTATTCATAGATTATAGTCTGACCCTCATTAATTAAAAGCAAGTTTTCATTTATAACCACTATTTGCTTACTGCTACTAAATCCCTGGGTATATATCTGAGACATAGAATAAGATTACTTGAAAACTATTAAAAAGAAAAAGTCCTTTTTTCTCATTGGATCAGCGGCCCTATACACTACCTACCACCTGGCATAATTAATTGTGAAAAATATTTCAGACCCTATCAACATTATGGAAACTAACAACAGGGATTCCATAGTATCTAAAGGACTACAAAAGCACCTAGAGGACTATAAAAATTGAAACCAGACAAAATTAATGGTTTCAAAAGTCAGGACAGTAATTACCTCTAGGGAGGGCATAGGGATTGCAAGAGGGCACAAGGGCCTTCTGGGTCACTACTAATGGTCTGGCCATTGACCAGAACACTCTGGCTAAATGTAATCATTTTGTGATAATTCACTGAGCCATAAATTTTAACCCTGTAATCTCTTTTATGTATGCTATTCCTGGGGGGAAAAGCATTTTTATGGAAAAGAAGAAGCCCTTTCTCCATATACTTTGAAGCCCAAATCCTCACCAGCAGCTTGGAGTTTTAGGAATTCCTGTTGGACATATCCAAGATGGAAGAAACGAAAAGATGAGGAGACCAGAAGAGGACTAGGAGAAGGCTTTTATTTTGCCTAAAAAGGAATCTTTGCTCCTTACAATCGAAGAAAGGAGTCTGAGCAAATTTTCTCTTTTCAGAAATAGCACAAATGTTGTAGTTATCATGCATAGTGTGATTCTTCAGCTACTTTCTGAATCAAATAGGCTTTTTCTTCACTACTGTTTACCTGATACCTAACCACATACATCACAGTGTTCCCACAGGTTACGTGTTCAGCCCTTTCTAAATTGAAAATGGTCCATTTATATTCTCACAGCAGATTATTGGAGTTCAGATACACTTTATTTTATTGTGCTTTGCAGATCTTCTGATTTTTACCAATAGAAAGTTTATAACAACCCTACCAAGAATAAGTCTGTTGATGCTGGTTCCAACAGTGTGCTTACTTTGTGTATGTGTGCCACATTTTGGTGGTGGTAGTTTTGGCTGTCATAGACTTAACTATGACTCATAGTGACACTACAAGCAACAGATGGAAACTTTGTCCTGTCCTGTCCTAGCTTTAGTTTGCTTGGCTCCATAGTCAACAGTCTTGGCACCAGTAGCCAGGAAATTAAAAGACGTATTGCCATGGGGAAGTCTGCTGTTAGGGACCTCTCCAATGTACTGAAGAGCAATGGTTTCTCTTTGGAGACTAAAGTGTGTCTGATACAGGCCATGGTCTTTGCAATCACTTGTTATGCATCAGAGAGTTGGACAATGACTAAGGAACATAGAAGGAGAATTGATGCCTTTGAACTGTGGTGCTGGAGAAGAGTATTGAGGCTACCATGGACTGCTAGGAAAACAAACAGATTCATCCTGG